CCTCTGCTGGGAGGTGGTGAGAGGTCATTTGAGTTTTTCATAATGAGGAACAAAGTCTTTTGCCTAGAAATACCAGCTTAGGTTTTGTTCCTGGCATCCTAATAATGAAGAGGCAAAGGACTGGTGACACGACCTCCAGGAGACAGGGACATTTCTCTGAGAATGACAGCATCTTTTTCTGTGCCTGGATTCCTCACGACTCACTGAAGCTCCAACACATCCCTCTGCTGCTTATTACTGCTTCTTTTGTAGTCGACACTGTACCACGTCATTATTGTTGAAAATAGTAATAATTAATACATTAATTTAAAAAAAAAAAGAAAAGAAAAAGAAAGTCTCCCTGGCAGGATCAGGAGGGAGCCTGGCTTTCTTGGCACTCCTGCTAGAAAAATCCCTCTGGACCAGAAATTGGGGAACAATCAAGTCTTCTCAGTATGGTAATGCTTCCAGAGTAATGAGGCTGGCCTCATGCCTCTCACTTTTTCTTCAAGGCTTTACCACCAATGACATCATCCCTCCCACACCACGCTCTGACAAAAGTAGTCTGTCAGCCTGGGAATCCATTTCTTCCGTCCCATTCATAAGAAATGACCCATCACTTCTGAGTGATGGGAGGAACAAAAACAGAAGCAACTTCATTTGCCAAGATTTGTAAAACACGGCTGATGAGTGTCTTGTTCTTGTAGGATGAGCTGTCAAAATAGTTAGTGTGCTTGCCATTTCCTTCATCAGTTAAAAAAAAAAATCCAAGACCCGGAGAATAATTGTTTTTGCATTTATGGTCTCCAGCTTTTATTGTGATTATTTGTTCCCAGCCTTGCATGTGATAGGAACATTTCTCAGTGGAAGTCAGTGGTGGAATGTGGAATCATGATGTAACTTGGAGACATAGACTATTGCAGACTCCCTGATTTCTTTTGTGTTTTCACTTGTAGTGGAGTCTTCGATTTTTAAAATATAGTACATTTACATGATTTAAAATCAGCATGTAGGAAGACAAGAGACTTCTTCCCTTCCCCTTTGCCTTCTCTTCACCCACTTCTCGGCCTGCCAGTAGACGGTGCATGCAGTTGACTGTTCCTTGTCTGAAATTCCTTTATGATAGTTTCAGGTTTAGGGTGATAGACGTTATAACATTTGCATATGGATCCTGAGACATTAGTAAAATTTGATCAAGAGAGATGCTTCCTGGGCTGGGGAGATGCCACAATGAGTAACAGCTCTGACCGCGCAATCATGAGGACCTGAACCTGAACGCCAAGAGCACACATCAACACAGTGAAGCCTGGTGCATGCCTGTAACCCAAGCACCAATGCAAGCAGAGACAGCTGAACCACTGGCATTCACTCACCTGCCAGGCTTGCAAAAGCAACAAGGTTTAGGTTCAGTGAGAGGCTCTATGTCAAGATATTACAGCACACAACGATAGATCAGGACACCTGATGCTCTCCTCTGACTAATGCATGTACATGCATGTAGGTACACATGCACGCACACACGTAGTTATATTAAAGATAGGTAGTTGGGGATGTCCCTCCAGCTAGTGTTAATAGGAAATTTAATTCAGATTATACACTAAAGCCCCACTGGTCCTATGGACTGAATGATGGGTATGCACTCTAGAGCTTTCTCTGCCAGATCCTGTGTGTTAGTGAGAAAATGTACTAGATTCCCTGTTCATTCATGACTCCCAATCTGGCTAGAGGCTGATTTCTACCTCCCTTCTTCCCTCTCTTTCTCTGTCCTCCTTCCATCCTCCTCCTCACCCCCCCCCATGTCTTTCTTTCAGTTACCCCAGGATAACCTCAAACTTACTATGTACTTTTCTCAAGTACTGGATTACAGGAGTAAGCTCTTTTGTCAATGGGGATTTTTTTTTTTTACCCCTATTTCAAGGCAGTATATTCTCACTGTATGATTTTTCTGGGAAGGAATGTAGTCCCTGTTGTCCTCAGAGAGTTGAATTGTCTGTCTGCTGTCACAGTGTGAGGGATCAGTATCTACTTTTCCTGTCATTAAAATACTGTGCCATCCTTCACGTGGATAATGAGAGGGCCACTGTGCTCACAGAGAAGGCCTGACAGGCTTGTTGAACAAGATGACAGAAGGAAGCTAGCCTGCAAATTTCATAAGAACTTACCCAGCAGATAGGCTTGGCCAGGCCAAAGTGACAGATGAATAACATGACCCGACGATGGCTTGCAAGAACTGATGGCTATCTGAGTGTTTCACTATTTCTGGTTTAACAGACTCTATCAGGCTAATGTGACAGAGGACTGTACAGCTGTAAGAAAGTACTTTTCTTTCTTAGGATGGAAAAAGGCCCAGCGTAAATCCTTCACTAAAAATCTAAAGCACAGGAACAGAGTAGGGTCTTAGAGATGCACTGAAAATCTGTAAGAACATGAAAATGTGAGATACAGCATGCCAAAATCCAAAATGTTTCGAGCACTGACATGACTGAGTTATGTTACTCACTTGACTTCATGGGATGACCTGCAACCAAAATACGACACATGTAGCATCTCTGTGGCCTTCACACACACACACACACACACACACACACACACACACACATGCATGCGCACACACACACATGCACATATAAAATATATGTCTTATGTAAATATCTATATTAATGCAGGTCCCCATGTTTGAGCACTAAGCAGTTTACTAACTAAGCTATCTCCCCATTGACCTTATTTTTTGGCAAATGTAATGTAATGGGTTATAGCTCAAGTATAGGTCCAAAATAAAACAGATAAAGACACCAAGGTTGATAAACCAAGCAAAGGTAATGAGTCATCTGTGAATAAATGGCTTATTCACAGGGTTCTGGCCTGATCACTGAGTCATAGTACACCTGTCATGTCTCCAAGTGTTTCCCAAGAAGCCATGTAAGCCAGCACTCAGTTCATGAGGTATTCAGTCAGACAGCCCACCAGGAACTGTTCCCCATTTATACTTGGTCATTCTAAGTCCATGTGGTTGGAAGGTCCCCATTCACAAATGTTTTCCCAGCCAAGCTACTACAGCGATCAAAGAGAGTGATAAGTGCAGCTGGACCTGGGACAGGGTTGAGACCCTTTTAGGATATGGAGGGCATCAGGACTTAGGTATTCATTCAAAACATTTTCTGAGTGTCTGTTGTAAGCCATATCCTGTCTAGTAAAAGTGACAGTAAATCAGTAACAAAACTACAATTGGCTCTTTTCGTTTAGCCTTAGAGTCAGGAGGAAAAGAGTTTCCTCCTGGTGTCAAAATTACCGTCTGGTTCCTGGGAAGTTGATGGACCTTACTAAGAGGAGAGATAGTAAAGCAAAGGAATTTGGTGCTAAGAAGTGTCATCTGGACTTGGTCAGGAAAACAGCTTATATGTGCATCTAGAAAAGAAAGGGCTGAATACAGAAATTGGAGCTATTTAAGTGGGATAGAATAGAAGCAGTGAGGCTGTAGAAGGAGTGAGGTAAGAGGAAATGAACTAGCTCCATGGTGAGTTAGGACTGACTGCAAAATATGAGAAGCTGTTATCCATCAGGACCAGAATGGAGTATCTAAGGAGAGGCCTGAGGAGCTAGATGGAAGCTAGAGCTGCTCCGCTGGAGGGCTAGTAAAGGGATGTGGTGTCTATCGTAGGTGTTATGGAAAAGCCAGGTAGAGTCTCCAGGTATAGGGTAAGGGGTTTGGGAGATGGGGTGTGGGGGTTGCTGTCAGGCCTTAGGCCCTGGGAATTGCCATACATACCCAGGTATGTAAGAAGACCACTCACACAGATGCTTACCCTGGGCACACCATTTAGAAGATGTACAGCCAGCAGGTACCATCTGCCCCACACTGCTATGCATGGCTGCCCTAATAACGGTGAACATAGAGGGTTTGGGACACCCAGGAAGCTATCTCTTATGGGACAATCTACCCCCTATCTGTACTATATCCTGTAGTCAAAGAAAGGGAGAGCTGGAAGAAGAGGAGAGGAACAAATGTGAAGGGAGAAGGGCAGAGAAACAGGCTTTATGGGGAGTTTGCCTGACCCCTCAGGAGTGTTTACCCTCTGGGCATGCGCTCAGAAAGCCAATCAGCTCTGGAAAGGGAGGCAATGAATCATTTATGATTGTTTTCACTTTGTATTCATTAAAGCCTCTGCACTATTATTATTGAACCTTAATTGGCTTGGCACTCTGAACAGCCTCCTCCAGCCCCTGCACCTCCCTCTGCCATCAGAAATTCCTGGAGCAAGCTAGCAAGCTTGCAGGAGAAACGAGAGCAAACCTTGCATGGGAATGGGGGCTGCTGATCCAGAGCCCCTCAGAAGATCAAATGGAACGTGGTCGCTTCCCTTTCTTCTCTCTGATCATATATTAATAAATGTATCCCATCAGGCTCTCGCTCCGCTCCCTGTGAGCTGGTGTCAGCTACTGCTGCCTAGAATCTCTTAGCTCCCTTTGCTACCTCAGCCACTGGACAAGTTTTCCGTCGGCTTCCACCATCAGGGTCTCCCAGGCGCAATGGTTTCATGCATGACAGCATGTGTCCTTTGTTCTGAGTGCCATGCCAGGCACTGAACCAGCAACAGTATGTGGGTTACCTGATTTACTTCTTTTAATACACTTCGGTGTAATTATAACTGCATAAAGGGAAGACAAATTGGCAAGTAATTACGATGTTAATTTGGCAATGTTTTATCATATTGTGGAAGCACAATTTCCTCTCTAATTGTATTGGGGGGGCACATTTATCTACATTGCAGCTTACTGAAGGTTTCTTGAGAATGGAAATGAAATACACAGGAGACAGGAAATCCAGCTCTCCTCCCCATAAATATTACTTTATTTGCCTGTGTTTTTTGCAGCCTCCTTAAAAAGCTAACTCGTTTATTCAGGCCCAATTAATGGAATGCCATACCATGTATAATTAGGCGGTGACAGCTTAGCTGATGGATTGCCATGGGTGTGGAAACCAGAGACACCCCCAGTTGAAATATCTGAACCTTCCCTTTCAGAACTTCACAGGCTGTGCATGCCTCACCACTGTTCCCCCTGAGAACGCCACTGTGGTTCCGGGAAAATGTCCCAGTCCTGGGTGCCAAGAGGCCTTCCTAACCTTCCTCTGTGTGATGTGTGTGTGCAGCTTGATTGGAGCCATGGCCCAAACGCCCTCTGTCATCATCCTCATCAGGTAAGCTGTCCACTGAGCCCCAAGGACCTGGGAGTCAGCCCAGCCTGTTCCCCTCCACCTGACACACAGCTTCAGGGTCCCCGAGCATCAGAACTGTGTGAGTCTTGCAAGCAAGTTGAGATGGGGCTGCTCTAGGCTAAGAGGAATCAATTACAAGCCTTCCGTCAACTGGGACTTCATAGCACAACAGGACAGCAACAGATGGCTGCTTTCATAGCCTCCCAGGAATTCAGGCGACTTTGAAAAGCATTGCACACTGATCTTGTCAAGAGGCATTGTTGGTGCAATAAAATGAAAATATTGGGCTGGGGACATGGCCTGGTTGGTGCACCTGCCTCACAAGCATGGGCTCAAGTTCATTCCCAAAACCCATATATAAACCTGGACCTAGAGCTTGCGTATAACCACCATGATTATGAAACGGAAGGTAGAGACAGGCAGGTCCCTGAAAGCTTGCAGGACAGTTATTCTAGCTCGGGCAAGTTTTAGGCCAGAAAGAGACCCTGTCTCAAAACCAATAGTGGAAGGATCCTGTGGTACAACATTCTAGGCTATCCTCTGCCCTCCACACATATGCTTATAACACCCACATGCACACACACACACACACACACACACACACGCTCAAAAATGGCATTAAACTAGCCAAGTCGTTATGTCTAAGCCTTGTCCTTCTGTCAATCAGCCATATGCCCTCGGACACAACATGGTCCCAAAACTTGTTTCTGACTCTCTTACATAGATAAGAGCACTCGTCCTGCCTGCCTGCCTGCCTTCAGGTCATGTGTGCAAACCACTCTAGAACATGAGAGGTTAACCATGCCAAGGATCCTGTGGCACGCAGGTGGCGATTGCTTTTATGTGAGTAAATGGTTGCAGTGAGACACCCAGAATTTTGTAGCCCCTTGTCTCTGGGAAGCCGGCCTGGAGGTGGATGAAGGGCCCCCAAGATGAATCATTGAGCAATATTCTGAGCAAGTTTCATCATTGGCAATGCTGTTGCTATCTTGATTTGACCGAGGTGCCTAGAAGAGCAATGATCCATACATACCCTAGTGTCCATCTAGACCCAAAGAAAGAACATATCCCACAGAAAGGCTCACCTCACTAGATGCATAAGCCAGGCAGTTCAAGGCCCAGGGCTGGGTTAGAAATGAGGTGCTTGGAACCACCTTGATTCCTTGCACAATACCAGCTGCTATACCCAGCTTCCCTGTTGCTGGAGGCCTCCCTACCACGGTTCCCGTTCTTTGCTGGCAACTGCCCTGGAAGTAAATTTATAGGAAGCACTAGTGTCACCCAGATGGTCATTAGCAGTGGCTTATGAATGTACAGAGGCATTAAGGGAACAATAGCAAATTGCCATCTTATACTTAGGAACTTTGACAAATCCATACGCGGCGCTCTGTATGGCTGTGGTCAATCAAGTTGAGTCAGTTTTTACTGGTGGCCTTGAAAAGCCTGTAAGTCCTTTCAGAAATGCAATATGCCAGTGTGAGTCAAGAGCCATAAAAATATTCAGGCCTCTACAGTAACCTACCACCATTCCTGGCCATTTATCTCAAGAAAATGCCTCTGTACAAAGAAAAAAAAAAAAAAAAGACCTCAATACAGACAGATTTTTTTTTATTACAATGTTAACTATAATGGCAGAAACACCTGAATTGAAGTTGTGAGTTAAATTATGGAACTGCAGTTCAAAGGAATAATGAAAAATCTTAAGAATGTAAGAAGTGTTTATGAAATGAGCCATTGAATTTAAAACTATACTTGGAAGGTGATTAAGTATCATATGCATATGAACAAAACCCATCAGGTTTCATGTATGGGTTTATGGCGGCTGTGTTAGGAGCCGTTTGTTTTTCATTAGAAATTCTCATGAAACTGTATCGTAATATTCACACACAGGAGTCTCCAGGAAGCAGCAGAAAGAAGGATCCTTGCCACCATTATTAGTGACTGATCCACTGCTTTCTCTCCCTGTGAGTTCCCACAAAGGCCCAGCCTCTAGATTCTAGGTGGCAAAACTTTGGCTGTGGAAATTTTAGCTGTTTCTAATCCTCAACTTGATAAGCAGGTCTCGTAGTTTTTCAAAACTACAAGACCTTTAAATGGATCAAGAGCGGATAGTCTCAGTGGCCTGTGCTGACCACATACATCTATGAACCCCTGTTTACCTAGAGGTACATGTTCTTGTTCGCATTGTAGCATGTCATCCCACCCCTTTCCTAGTCCAGCTTGCCCTCACAGAAATTCTAGGTAGGAACCGGGATATCCCATGCAGGCCGACCACGGCAGATAATTACCAGCCCTGGCCCAAATTGGTGGTTCATTCTGATGCTGGTCAGAGGTTGCCGGTAGAAGCGCTAAAGGAAGCGGGGCTGGGGAGGAGACTTGCCCGGTAATGTAGTAGTATCACAAGCACCAACACCCCAGTTCAGTTCTCAGGACCCCTGTAAAAATGCCAGGCGTGGTGAGGCACATTTGTAACCCCAACAGCGGAGAAGAGGAGACAGGAGGCTCCCTGGGGTTCACTGGCCAGCCACCCTAACCTATTTGATGCACTTGTGGCAGATGAGAGACGTGTCTCTAAGGAGATGGATGGCATTCATAAGGATGATATTGAAGTTGTCTTCTGGTTTCTACACACACACACACACATGTATGTGTGTGTGGTCATGCCCACACATACAGTATATCTTAAAAGGATGCTGAAAAGGTAGCAGGAAAGCAGATACTCAATTGGCTGATGTTAAGGCACAGTTCTGGGCTCCTTTTTAAAATGACTGTGTCCACACCCCTGTAAATATCCCCCTTTTACACATGAAGAAACTGGCCCAGCAAGTGACTAAGCAGTACTCCCAAGGTCTCACCACCAGTAATTTAATGATCCTGAGCCCGCATTTCTGGTCTTCCCTGGATCTTTCAATAACATCCTGCCTGAACCCTCCATTTCTTCATAACTAAGCTCTGCAGTTCTTACGGGAACCAGTTTCTCCACAGGATATGAAGAAAGATCTTAGCACCTTCCTCACTTTGTTCCCAGTGACACGGCAGCTGAAAGGAAATCACATTTCAAGTGATAAATAGTCTAGCTCATTATAGCAACATGTTTTCTTGATAAGGAGATTTGCCTTTATTTATGTGTCTTTTAAGCTAAACCTTCAAATGAAGGCAGTAACAACACAAGGAACTTGGCTTGTGTGATGTGCATCTTCCAGAGAGCGCTAGTTTTACCCAGAGATGCAGCTGTCATGACCTGGAACTAGTACCTGCCTTTGTCAGCCAGAGTCCTGAGCCCAGCATTCAATGGAAGTCATAACAGGCTGCCCTGGGGGTCACTCACCTGTCCCACACTCTCGATAATTAAAAAGAGGAGGGCATTCCTCAAGAATAGTTCCTTTTTGCTTTACGGAAAATCTTAGAATTTGCCAATGATTATAAAAACTACTCTTTCATTGTCTTCTGCAGACTATGGCAAAATAACATACACATGGTAGTTTACAAACAATAGGAATTTGTTTCTCACAGTTTCATGGGTCTGGAGGCTAGAAATGAAAGCTCGAGGCTTTATTAACTGGCAAGGGCCACTTCAGTACAGGAGGGCAAAGAGACAAAGGATCTCTCTCTCTTAGGCTCTTTCCCCTCCCCCAAGGGCACTAATCCATCATTCATGTAAGCCCCACCCTCAGGATCTAAGCACCTCTCAAAGGTCCCACTATCACTTTAGGTGTTAGGCTTGAATAGAAAAATTTGAGGAAAACAGAGTCAGTCTATAATTTTGGGTTGATGGTCACTTTTGACCCGTTACAACAACAAGCCGGAAGCATGCACACCAAGGCTCAACCTAGTCAGAGATCACGGGATGACTGCCAATGGGTTGATGAGTAAACGGCCTTGGGGTCATTTAAGAGTAGTATTCTAAGCCTAGGAACACCACTCAGTTAAGTGTTTATTAAGTAAGCACAAGGACCTGTTTTAGGTCCCCAGCACCCACATAATCACTGGCCACAATGGCTCCTGTATAACCATCATGCAAGGAGGGCAATCAACAGACAGAGGTGCACCTGTTATAGCAGATAATCCCGTAGTCACTTTGTCCCTGGCCTTTACTTTATACAGGCCCAGATCCTACACCCTCACTGCTTTGTGTGCTTCTGGTCTCTACTCTTCCAGTCACACTGAAATGCTCCACTGTGTTTAAGGTTCAACCACAGCGAACGGCTTCCGTGCCTAGCCAAGTCTTCCAAGAAGTATAGCCACTCACATCCCTCTGTCCCCTAAGGAAACACAGTAGCAACAGATAGGAAGAGGTGATACTCTGATTAACCGGAAACCCATGTGTATATTGTCCAGTCTCTTTCCCTCAGAGTCCTTCACCACAAAACCACAGGTGCAGTGTTAGAGACGTCTGCCCAGCCTGCTACCCACTTACGCGTTCCCTCAGCACAGGCTGGGTGCTAGATGCAGAGGTAAGGTTGAGGTCAAAAGGTAACCACAATGCAAGTCATCCTTAGCCATGAGGGGAGAAGGCAAGCATTGAATAAATCCCAGCTGTAAGCTTCAGAGGAATTATGGGGGAGATTTGTGATCTGCTGTGTGGACCCACCTAAAATCTCACAAACCCGCCTCTACGGTGACCCTCACTTTTAAGAAACATTACACCCTAGAGAATGTGTAAGATCATTCTTAGGGACTGCACATGGTAAACCCATGTCAGGACGATTGGGGTCATTCAAAGCAACGTCTGGTGACTAGTAGAAAGAACCTTTCAAGATTACAAGGTACTAAAAGTTGATGCACATGCCTGGGTCAAGGCTGGCTCACCTGGAGTGCCCGTGAATGAAAATCTGGTGGATTTTACAAAGTGACCCGGGAACACTGAAGGTGTTTATGGTTCCAGCTGCTCTTCAATAATTTGCTAACCTGCTGCTCCCACGTGCACATACCCCACACACACACACTTTTGGTGTGTCCTCTTTGGAACTAAAGCACGCTGCTCTAAATATAGACTTCATGATAGAGTTTGCATGCAGTCTTTCTAGCTCAGGTTATTTAAAGGAGGGAAAAAAGCATTTAATTCCTAAACATATCTTGGCACCACAGTTGCAGGCAATTTTCAGACTTTTAGCAAAAGAAAGAAGAAAACCTATTAGTAATTTTCTGAGGTAGGATCTGATGGGCAGCAACAAATAACTCTGGGACTGTTAATTAAAATGGAGTGATAAGAATAATTTTTTTCTCCCCTCCATCTCTTTTTATGTAGGACAGTCAGCCCTGAACTCAAGTCTTACGCGCTGGGAGTTCTTTTTCTCCTCCTTCGTTTGTTGGGTACGTATTGTCTCTTCATTCCCTCCATAATGAATTGGATGTGTATTAGCAGGTGAGTGAGGATCGGCGAAACTGTCCCAATTCCTGAATTTGCCTCTTTTCTTTCCTGTCATGTTTATTTATTAGTGTCCCACTTCCATTTCCTGTTGCAACGACGAAACACCCTGACACAAGCAATTTTAGGGGGAGAAGGGGTTTATTTTGCTTACAGTTTCAGATTACAGTCTATCATTGCCAGAAGTCAAGGATGAAGCAGCTGGCCTCATCCACCTTGCAGAGCAAAGAGAGAATGGGTGCATACAACGCTTGTGTTCAGCTTACCCACTGTCCCGTTTGCATACTGCCAAGGGCTCAAACCCCATGGAGTAGTGTTGCTCACAATGCGAGGGTCTTCATACTTCAAATAGCACAAGACAGTTCCCCACAGACATGCACACAGGCCAACGTGATCCAGACGGCCCTGCGCTGAGACTCCTTTCTCTGGTGATTCTGGGTCTGTCATACCATCACTTTGAACCTGAATTTTTTTATTCCCAAGTTCAGACACCATCATTCTAGACCCCTCTGATGTCACAGGGGTTATGTATTCCAACTCTGGGCCTCATGTCACACTGAATTTTCATTAGCTACAGAGAAAATGCAGTGGTGCGGTTTGGTACTAGTTTGCATTCTATTGCTGTAATGAAAACCATGGCCAAAATCAACCTGGAGGAGAAAAGGATATCTTTGTTTTAAATGGATCACACTCAATCATTCAGGGAACCTGAAGGCAGGAACTGAAGTACAGGCCATGGAGAACACTGTTTTTACAGTCTTCCTTGGTGTGCTTTCTTATTCAGTGCATGGCCATGTGGGAGTGACACCACCTAGAGTGGGCTGGGCCTTCCCACATCAACCATTTATGAAGAAAATGTCCCACAGACTTGCCTACAGGACAACCCAATAGAAGCATTTGAGATTCCCTCTTTCAAGATGACACTAGCTTATGTCAAACTGACAAGAAAACTCTCATTAAGAAAGCCCGAGCAGCCTGAGGTATGCTTTATTTCTGAGCTGCCTGCTGGGAGTAAGAGGCCACAAACCCATCACCTTGCAGCCTTTCCAATATATTTATTTCAATTACTCAGTTATTTTTATTTACCTTGAATTGTTTTATTTCATTACCTTTTATTATTTATTATTTATATTACTTCTTATTATTTATCCAGTTATTTAAATATATTTATTTACCTTGGGTTTCCAACAGGTGGCCTGGCCCCCACCTGTGTCACACTTTTTTTCTCATGCCCAAGCTGAGATCAAAATGACTTGAGTGAACATCACATGGAAACTGAGGGTAGAAAGGGAGGTAACTGTCCTGCACAGTAAGAGTAAGCATAAAGCTCTCACTGGAAGTCTGTGGTCATGGATGGACACGAAGATCTAGGGCTGGAAATGTGAGGTTTGAAAAAAGCATTTTTCTATCAGCACAAATGTCCAACAGCAGAGAATTAGTTACATCAGCGACGGTCTGTAATCCTGGTAGGAGTCAGGCCTCCTTTAAAGTTCTGGAAAGAACATTCATAGACTTGGAAAGGACTCGTGACATGTGGTGGGGACAATGGCGGCCCACTCTCCAATGGATTTAGATGATTATCAAGCATGTAAACATAGGGAAAAATATTTGGGAGGATGACCATCCAAATGGTACCATATAGTTTTAAGTAGTAAGATTATGTTTTCTAAATTGAAACTTTTGAATATCTCAACATATATTAATATATTAGTTTTATAATGCTGTTAATTCCTGTGTAATTGTTAAAAGAGAGAGGAAAAACCCCATCCACAATAAAGGAAACACACAGCTTAAGTGTCTCCCTCCAGAGTCGGCACTTGTATTCAGTCCCCATCATCCCCCCTGTTCCCTGTGGAGCAGATCTCAGAACCCTCTCCCCGGTCAGTCCATGTGTGTGGATGCGCAGGGGCATCCTTGTCTTATTTCTGTTTCATGGTAAATAGACACACATAGATGTGGAGGTGCCACGGATGAAAGCCTGAAGCCCTCTTTCAACTTAAAACAGGTGGGTGTTTCTGGGAAGCTGTGACAGCTTGAAAATTTCTACCACCATAGAAAGAATGATATTGATTTTTTTTTTTCTTGTGTCGTTGGAAGCGTAGACAGATGTATTATCAGGTCCCCTGCCCTCAGTGGTCAAGCAGCTGGAGAGACAGATAGACATGAAATACGAACAAGCTAGAGAGCCTCCATTTTGGAAAGTGGTAGAACCATTCCACAGATAGTTTTGCAACAAAATGGCATTTGCTAAGTACCTCCGGTGTTCTGAGTTCCCAAGCCATACTAAGGCAGGTGGCCACACCCTGCCCTTGAGAGCCCCCCACAACAGGGCTCAAAAAATGTGGGTGTTTTCCCTCATCTGTAGAATTGCTGTAGAGGTCTCTGCATCTCTAAACCACATTAAGGACTCTACACACGGTCTAAAGCATCAGGGTGAGGGAAATGTCTTGGTCATTAAAGCATTTGCCTCACAAGAATGAAGACCTTCATTCAGATCTCCTGAGCCCATGTAAAAAGCTAGGTGCCATTGTGCATGCCAATAATCCTGATAATGGTGGCCCAGGAGATAAAGACAGGTAGATCCCTGGAAACACCAGGCCAGCACCTACCCCAGTGGTTGGGGCTGACCAACCCTTTCACGGAGGTGGCACATCAGATATTTACATTACAATTCCTAACAGTAGCAAAGTTACAGTTATGATGTAGCAATTGAAATGTTATTATGGTTGGGGGTCATCATAGCATGAGGAGCTGTATTAAAGGCTGTCAGCGTTAGGAAGGTTGAGAACCACTGACCTTGTCTATGTGGAAAATACAAGGCCAATCAAACATCTCAAACAAATCAAGACTTTTCAAACAAAGTTTGGAAGGTGCCTGAGGACCAGCACCCAATGGTGGCTAGAACGATGGCCATGAAATACCAACAACCTAGAAAGCCTCCTTTGGAAAGTGATGGAACCATTCTACAGATAGTTATGCGACACTTCCCTGAGCACCTCCAGGGTTCTGAGCTGGCAGGCCAATAGCGAGATGCATATGCTCATATATGTACAGAGGGTGTTCTTCATAATAATCTCGATAGCACAAAATTTTAAAAGAACAAGTTATTTCTGAAAATTATAGGGTGATTGAAGATAAAAACTGAGGTATCAAAAGGAGATGTGCGTAAGATAATCCCTCACCGCTCTGACCCCCACTCTGTCTGTCTGCAGCAGGAAAGGCAGGCATCACCGGGAACAGGGATTTTTCCAGAGCAAGAGTTAACTTTATCGTTATAGCCCGTTATACAATGTATGTGCATAGATACAACTGAAACAAAAATTTCATGGGAAAAAATACCTTTAATATGTAGAACACATTCTGATATTCTACTCCCTGCATTTTGAAAAGTTGGTTATGACCCAGCGTATTGATTCTATTGCCCATTATGAGTCACAAATCAGTTTGGAAAACCTGGCGCTGAAAGGATATGACACTGTCTCGTCTTTTAATTAAAAGCGGCTTAGCAGAGAAGTCTTGGCATCTGGCCTAATTCCATCTCCTCAAGCACCCAGTAAGATTAACGGCCATTATTATTAATGCAAGGCCAATGAATAAATCAGATCTCGTGACACTGCCAACCCTCGGGGTGCCCCGTGTGGGTAATGGGAATACAGTGGGGACACTGAGTTGAGTATGACAAGATCTGTGATGGAACCTGCACCAGCACAACAGTGACTTGGGGGAAGCGCCACCTACCTGCCTCGGGATTCAGGCCTGACGTCCTGAGCAGAGAATAAATACAGGTTATGAAGATGTACAGGAAGAAGAAAGGCTGCTTTACATGTGGGGGACTTCTAGGGATAATGCTTACAGGCTGCAGAGACCTCATTGAGGCAAGCAGGGTGAGGCAGGAACAGCATCATATGGAACTGATGGAGGGAGTGAGCTAGGAACATGATGAGGAAGGTCTTCTGCCCCTTGGGTAGCTTTGAACGCTTTGAACGGTATCTTTAAGTCAAGTAGAAGCTGCTAGTAGCCTTTACCAAGAGAGGGACAAGACCCACTGTATATTTCAGGAAGGGATGCTGTCTAGGGACTGAATATGGTACAGTCAATTAGCGTTGAGAGAGAGGTTTGCATTGAGATAGTGGAGTTAAAACTGAATGAGGAAGGACCTTCATGGCTTTGTCTCTGAATTGAAGTTCTACCTCTGGTAGAGTGTTCTACCTCTGCAGGTTTCAAACAGGCAAATCAGAAGAAAAACACATTTCTCATTTTCATTAAAAGAAAAACAGCATGCATACTAAGAATGTCCACACTGGCTTTTCATATCACTACTTCTTAAAATATCTTATATCTTACATTGTTTACATTGTATTGTATATCTTAGAAAGTTCAGGAATGTTCAAAGTGTGCAGGAATATGGGTTGGGGATAGGCAGAAGAGGTAAGGGGCAGGTGAGGAGAGGCACAGACCATGGCTGGGCTACCCTCGGGTGACAACAGAAAAGTTCTGCATCTGCATCATATATGGCTTTTGAACACTACTTGGAACATGGCTTGTGTGGGCTGCTTTACTTAACTTTTATTGGTTTTCATTTAAGTAGCAACATTTGGCCAGTGGCTGTCATACTCAATGGGGAAGGAAGGAAGAAGGTTAGCATGGAAGACCACAATGAGCCATGAGCAGGGTAGAGAAAAATGGCAGGATCCAGAAATGAAGGTAACATTGGTTCCCTGTGTTACTTTAGACACTGATGGAGAAGAGCTGGGAGATAGAGCAGGGACCTCAATGGCACTGGCCACTATGCGATGAGAATTTCACTAGTATCCCTAGGGAAGAAGTAAGATTGCAGCTGGTGGGATCAGTGATAGATGAGCTACAAGGAGAACAAAGCAAGGAAATCAAGGATGACAGGTTCCAAGGATGTAACTCAATTGTTCGCATGCTTTGTCTAGTGTGC